AGAACTGGATGAGAGCTCCTCTAAGACCTGATGACTCCTCTGAGCTGAAGGTCTAAGGTCTACATTCAGTCCTCAGCTGCTGATAAAGTGTCCTCTCTGCAGCTCAACCTTCAACTTCACCTCAAATATTTTCTAAGTTCTTTTTTATTTATATTTTTTTGTAAAAATGGTCAAATTTTAAAAGATAAATGCGCACAGAGAACATCATTTTTTGTATTGAGTGATAGCTCAGAGGGATAAGAAAGAGACTAGAGCTCRGCAGGTTGCAGGTTCAAGTCCTGCTCCCACTAGTGTTTAGTGAAGGTTTTTACCCTTTTTAAAGCTAAAGGCAGTAAGACACCTCYTGGGATCGAACCTGCAACCTTTAGATTACAGTAGTAGCCAGTCTTCTTACTGGCTGCGCCACACTTTCTTCTAATTATATTGCTTTTTTTTTAAAACTTGTCTCTTGTTTTTGGATTTTTGGACGTCGGGACGACTCGACTGTCCGAGGATTGAAAGTTTGAGAGAAAAACCTTCATCTGAGTCACTTCAGAGGCTCAGGAGGTCCTGAAACATMAGAGCTGAACTTCAGGATCTGCTTCACTCAGGAGACCAGAACCTCCTCAGAACTCATCCTCTGAACTTTGAGCTGCTCTTCAGGAACATTCAGCTTTTACACATCAGCTGTGAAGCTCCTGAATCCTGCTTTCAGAAAAMTGCAGCTTTTATTTCCAACAAACTCAGGCAGAGTTAGGAAACTCTTTGTTTCTTGAACATTTCAGACTCAGTTTGTAGGTTTTCAGTAGCGTTGGCTGTTTGACTTGTTTGTGCACAAAATTACTCAAAAAGTTAGGAATGAATTTGTTGGGGTTGTCACAAAAAAAAAAAAAAAACAACAACAACAACTGATTACATTTTAGTGGTGATCTGGCACAAAGTGAAAACTAAACTTAAAACACAGGAGGCTGCTTTTTAGTGATAACATCAAACTGTGAAAGCAGTTAATTAACCTTAATTTAACTAAGCAAATCCCAGAGAAATTACAACTTTTCATGTTCTGTCTTCTCCTAAACACCACATATCTAAACTGGGGATTGAACCCACAACCTTGTGAGTGTGAAGCAATAGTTCTAACCACTGAGCTGCGTGAGGGGAGCAGAAAAGCAAACAAAATCATTAAAAGTTTGATTCAGATTTTTGTTTTAATTAATCAGCAACTCTTCTCTGTGTTTCTACCACAGGCTCTGACAAAACTGTTTATTTCTGAGGCCTCCCTCTGGAGTTTCTATTATTCAGCTTCTTCTGTTCTCCTTTAATAATTTTAACTTCAACATTGTAGAATTAGTTTCGGCCAGGAATACAGTTTTTAAGCATTTGTGTGGATATTTATGTGTGCAATATTTAGAGCTGTTGTACAAATCTGTATTGTGAGTTCAAACYAGATCTGGGCCACWWTTTATGTCTCTAGCWGGGTTCCTACAGTTTAAGGCAAGTTAAATTTAAGACTTTTTAATGCCAAATAAAACTAAATTTAAGACCAATTTCACAATAAACACAAWGTACAAAAATAAAAACTGGCAGAAACTCATGAATCWAAGTATTTTTGGTTGAAGTATTCAAATATTCCTAATAAACCAATTGTTTTTAACCATATCCGACTGCCTTTTTGTCAAACAAAGCAAAAACATTAGCAGTCAGTTTTAAACTTCATTTAATTCCTGGAAATCCTCTAACGATCCAAAATTTGTAGTTTTAAGACCCACAGTGGGGTCTCAACCCCAATTTTCTGTAGATGAAATGTGACATGAAGTTTTTTGTAAGAAACGTGAATACATTTTTGGAAAGACAACATTATCAACATATTACAAAACTAATTTCACGATGCTCAGACGGACGGTGGTTGAGACATTTGCATGTGAAATCACAGGAAGTGATGTCAAAGAGGAATGTCTGCATGCGAATGTTTAAAACTAAATAAATGTTACCAATTATTTTAATATTTGAGACGAATTACAATCATCCTACGTACAATGTGTTAACATTTTTAAGACCTCAAAGATTGATTTAAGACATTTTAAGGCTAATTAAGGCCTTAGTTTTGGATCGATGAATTCAATGCCTTTTAAGACTTTTTAAGGATCTGCAAGAACCCTGTCTAGTTATTAGGGCTGTGTATTGGCAAGAATTTGGCGATACGATACATATCATAACAGAGGGGTCACGATACGATATATCCCGATATATTGCGATACTGTAAGCAAGGCGATATATTGCGATTTTTTTGTCCAAAAATTCTATTAAATAAAAACCTCTTACTAAAAAAGAAAAGCTAATGTTTACTTACAATGCTAATGCTACCCTTACTC